TCTAAAGGCTCAGACACAATGAGAGCTATGATAAGTATTAAAGGCATGTAAGGAAACTGGTCAGTAGTGGAAATACTGATCAGTCTGTTTTAAAGAGCTTTTCACTACAATGATTTTAATTATTTATAATTGGATTTATTCCAGGGAGCATTTTAGGAAGATTACTAAAGTTTTGTAATAGAAGTATGATGGTTCAAAAAATGATAGAAAAAGAACAGAAAACCTAAATGGGATGAATTGAATGAATGAATGAGAGCAAAAATGTTCTTTGTGGTCATAGATGATAGGCTCACACTTTAAACTCCAGGCTTTCTAGAATAGCTAGCTAAACAAAGAGTTGGCTTGCAATGTGCATGCAGTGTGTATTTCTTATGGAGAAAAGAAGACTTAATCACTGAATAAATTATAAGTAGATTAGAATTAAAACAATCTTGCTTCTGGCTTCTGACACACCGTATCCGAATACATACAAAACTTTAGGCCTAGATGATCACTCAGGTAAGATTGTTAAGATTTAACAGGAATGGATTTGGTTTTACTTTTTCCAAAATATAGGAAAAGAAGGAAACATTATAAAAGATGAATCATATACCTTCATATACCAATAGCATAAAATATTCTGTACAATTACACTTCTTAATCTTTTTGGTCTCAGAACTTTTTTACACTCAAAAATTATCGAGGATCTCAAAAGCTATTGTTTTATATTGATCGTATTTATAATTATCATTTTAATACAATTTAACAGCATTTCAATTTTAAAAAGTCTTTCAACCTAAGATGAAAGTTGCTGGTATGAGTGACATTGTTAGACATTTTTACAAATCTTTAAATGTTTGGCTTAATAGAAATCATACTTGGAAACTCATTTGTAATGTGCTGTTTTCAATAGACTTTTTCAGATAATTATGCATATTCTTTTTGAAATGACAAAAATTATGTAAGTGGAAGTCTTTTACAGGTTAGTTGTAATGTGCAATCAATTCATTTGAAGGAATATTTTGTACTATATAATGAAAACTGATTGGTCTTATACTTTGAGTAGGTCTTTTATCTGATGATTTTATGATGTTATTCATTGATCAATTGAAAATGTTGGCTCACTGAATAGAGCAGAACTTCCAAATGTAACATGTCATTTTATATTTGTCTTCACTAATCTTATCAGAAAATCCTTGTATTTCTAATACTTGTAAAAATCTTGTAAAAAGTTGTCAAGCTAATAGTACTGAGTACAGGTTTTCCAATATTCTAATTTCCCTTGAAAATTAAAATTTTACAATTGACAATAAATACTGTTTGTTTTCCTTGAAGTGAAAAGCGCTTTGTACATATTTGAGAAAATATCTGGTAGATACCCAAATCTGAATGCCAATCATTTGGTAACTTCTTGCGGGTAAAATGGAAGTCCATTTAAAAAGCAGTAACTTCACTTTGCAGCTCAAATAATTGCATAAATATCTTTCCTCATATTGTACATATGCAGCAGAAGTGCTGTATGAGTATATCCCATTTCATCACAGAATAGTACAAAGATATATATTCAAATGTGAGAATCAAATAATATTATTTATTGCTTTAACAGGTATATTATGTGAAACTGATTCCACTTAGTCCCCCAAATTGCATGGTAGTAAAGAGTACTTACCACTAATATAATATAATAAGTTACCAGTAGTTTATCCACCATTGTTTTTGTACTATTCATGCAAGTTAACATACTTGAAAAAGACAAATAATGTCTTAGTAATAATTTTGACTGCTATAAGGAAAGTCTCTAGATCCCACTTTTGAGAACTTTTGCTATTCTCAAATCTTACGAATGAATACTGATACAAAACATTTAAATTAACAAGTAGAAAATGTAGTATTAAACTGAAATACTGGTTTTATTAGGCTCAAGTGGTATTTCCTCCTTTGAAAGTAAAAATGAATACACATTAGGAAATCTCTTAATAGAATTTATGACATTAGTAGCCCCGGGTAGAAAATGCCCATGATAAAAATGATGAGTTTCTTAGAAAACTAGTAAATCTGAAGCACATTTTTAAAATATAAAAGCCACAAAAGTAAAAACTCATAGTAAAGAGTAAATAATACTTTCTTAACAGGAATAAGTGTCAGTTTGTGTATATATCTGTCAATATCTTTATTATGTGTGATACTTATAGAGTTAACTAATATTGTGCACTACCATCATCGTTTTATCATATTTGAGAATTGCTACATAATACAACAAATCATAATGATAAAGACAAAATCATTTTGAAAAAAATATAGACAGATTCTAACTATAAGTGAAATTATTGTAAATCTGGATATCTTCAAAGAAACAATGGTTAGTACTTGGGAACTCAGAAATGTCAGATGGGTATCTAAAAATTTTATATATCAATATTTGAACTTTTCCTATATGAATTAGTTGCTTAGAAAATATGATAGGCTAAAAGCATATTAAAAGCATGAAATAGAATCTATGAAAGGAAGTACAAAGCTCATTGGAGAAATATGTAAAACTGAGGAAATGAAAGAATATTACTGGGATAAAAATATTAAGCATTATAAAGATAGCAGCCATTTCTAAATTAATTTATAATTTCAGAGCAGAAGTTAAATCCCATGTAAGGCACCATGTAGTATTGACACCAGACTGGATCTGCTGATCACAATAAATTCCCTTAGGCATTTGGGAATTTAGTATATGCTTTACCATGTGATGCATTAAAAGTTGTCTTTAGTAAATGATACTGGGATAGCCAACTGACCACAAAAGCACATATTTTGTTAAAATGCAGTTATCAATTGCTGTTGTGACTGCTAGTTTCTAGAAAGTTCCCATCTTATCATGTCTGTTCCATTGTGTATGCCACTACTAGTTAGAGATCTTCAGTACTCAGTTATCTTCCACAGCATATATAATAAAACAATTTAAACTTTTTAGCTAAGGTTAATAATTTTATTATAGGGTTTAATAGGCAGGTGCTAGTTTGTGTAATTTTATAGTTCTGAAATAAAATTAATCTCCATTTTACAAGAGTAGGTTCCTAAGCAGTGCAATTTGACCAATATCACACAGACAGGATTCAATTTTAAAGTTTGTTTTCAGAGTTTGACTTCATTATAGGTAGACTCAGTGACTCAAAACTTTGTGTTACCCCAACTCTCTGCTTCCAGCTGACCTTGAGCCTGAAATTCCACCTACATTGTTTTACTTAATCTTTTCCCCAAATGGTTATTCTTCGATACTTCCATGACTTTGCATGTATTATTCTCTCGGTCAGTGATAGTTTCTTTTATTCTCTTTCTCACCGATTTATGGTCTACTAAACTCTAGAATTATAACCAATATTCTTTGCTTCTTCCCTTAGTTTTCAGGTTTGTTTGTGATCAAAAGTATCCTTAATTATCTCTCTTCTAGTATACATTATACTTCTACTATTAATGTACATTATTTTGTGTGGTATTAATTTATGTAATTACTTGGAGAAGTATACAAAAACAAGAGACATAGTTTCTGAAATCATAGTAGAAGAAACATGTAAACAGTTAAAATACCAAAGCAGATGAAACTAATGTCAGTGAAACAAGTAGTATGTCAAGAATGGCTATTCTAATCAGCATTTGAAGTTAGAGAAGAATTTGTTGAATAAATTGCATTTGATCTGAACCTTGAGAAATTAAGTGAAAAGGATTCAGCTGCTTAGAATCTAGGGAGAAGAAACATAGACACAAAGGAGTGGTCTGTGGAGAGAGATGCATTAGGAGATGAAATGAAGCAGACAATTTAGTACCATATCAGGGAGAGCCCATGTCCTGGGATTCTGACCTTCCCTAAGGGAGGAAGTTTGAGAAAGTTGTGAAAATTGGGTTTAAGGCAGAAGAAAATGGGAATATATAAAAAATAAGATCTTGGCCTGGGGATGAAGCTCAGTTGGTAGAGTGCTGGCCTTGAATGCACAAGGCCCAGGGTTCAATCCCTAGCACCAAAAAACAAAAAAACATAAGATCTTAATATTTTAAAAACTTATAGAAATACTAAACTATATTGAGACCAAAAAGTACATTTCAATGACAAATTTAAAGAACACAAAAAGTTTTCTCATATATATGTGTGTGTTTCTGAGGTAGCATTTTAAAACTCATCTGAAGAAAGTTTGACAACTTTGGCCATCTCTTTAGTATGCATTGTTACCTGTGTTTATGTTATGTGTAGAATATTTTTTATCTTGGACTCAGAGATGAGTAGACTTTTTTTTTCATATGTGGTAATTAGCTGACAGTGATATACACAACATATTTGATATATTTAAGTTAAGCATATTTAACCAATATTTCATTTACATATTATTAAATCAGTTTTTTAATGTTCACCAGCTAGAGTTACACATATTTGTAGGATATCTTCTGAAAATTATAATAGTTATCAAATTAATGAGTAGTTTCAAGATATAGATAGCAGAGAATAAAGGAGTTAAAATTTTTAAATGTCTTGTGATCAGTGGCACTACTTTAAACTGATCTTTAATATTTTAAGATCGTTATCTTTAGGGTCCTCCAATTTACATTCAGTTTCAGTCTTTACTACAGTTAGCTTCCTGAGGTGGTATACCACCTCAGAAATCTGTTTATGCCATTACTGTAAACAATTTTAATTCATTTGAAGAGGAAGTGCCAGGTAGCCAGAAAACAGAGTGAGATATATGCTTAAATTATTGTCATAACATTTTTTAAGTTGGTTTTAAGAATAGGCCATGTATTTTGAAATATGAATGTTCTCTACGTACTGGAATGCTTGAGTTGCTAGAGGCATATACTGAAAACAATTTGATTTCTTTAATTATCCTGTGAATTACTAAAATATTTAATCAGACATTTATACATTGTATAAAAGCTTCAACTTTTGTGTACTTGAAAATCAGTTAATGTTTGTAGAATAATTGTGAGTATAATTTTTTTCTATGTAGTTCATAGTGATATACTTCTTTTTGTGTATTGTTTAGCCGTATATGTGGGAGCCCGTGTCCTGCAGTGTGGCCTGATGTAATTAAACTACCATATTTCAACACCATGAAACCAAAGAAGCAGTATCGTCGAAAGTTAAGAGAAGAATTTGTTTTGTAAGAAGTGAATGCTTAAGCATCCATATTGCATTGAATTTGTTATTTTTGTGTGTGTGTGAATTCTGAATGTTACTTGATCCTCTTGATTTGTAGTAGATCTATCCAGTTCTGCTAGGCCATTTAATTTTGAAGTTTGCCTTTGGTATATGCAAATTTCCTTTTCACCACCACTGTAGAATCAGTGATTTGGATAGTATGGTTGGTGCTTATACCAAAGAATTTCATTGATATTGTTTTAAATTTTATTGGTATAACTTTTAAGTTACTTAAGTTTAGGATTTCACTTTGGTTTAGAAAACTATTCTGCTTGGTTTCTACTTTGATATAATAAAATTGCCCATAGAATAATAAAATACGTTGTTTTCCCCAGTTAGTTATAAAAATTGTGTAATTAAATATTTCTTCAAAGGAAAATTTGAGATTTATTGGAATAAAGTATTATAAACATAAAATGCTAGCATTTAAAATAATTTGATTTTTAATTTAAAAAATTAACTAAAATATTTTATGTTAAGCTTCTAAAGAAATACTATACTTGTGTCTACAAAACATATATGACTTTTGTAATCCTCTCATATAGTATTCCTGCAGCTGCTTTAGACTTATTTGATTACATGCTCGCCTTGGATCCTAGTAAGCGGTGCACAGCTGAGCAGGCTCTTCAGTGTGAGTTCCTACGAGATGTTGAACCCTCAAAAATGCCTCCACCAGAGTAAGTAGATTTTTATTATATTAGATTTCACATATGTAGACTCTGGACAGTTTTAATAACATCTGTATATAATGATCAAAAAATATTTTCCATGCCTAAATAAGTTGAAAGAGACCAAAATAAGTAAATAAAACTGCAGTACTATGTGTAATTTGCACATCTAGAATACAGTTAGATGCTTGCTTAATGTTGAGCTAATCATGGGATGCGGCCTTTCTCTAGCTAATGTTGGGTTAGTTCAGCAAGATATTGTAATGTGTTTCAGCTTTAAGAAAATATTGTTGCTGCTAATTCTGTCAATACTTACACTGCTAGTAATATTTATAGATAAAATTTTGAGTATTGTGGTATTTTTCATGTATTATATTAATCTTTATAATCCTCTAAGGTAGGTATTATTATCCTTCTCACCATTTTACAGAGGAGGAAGCAGGCTCAAAGAGGTTAAGAAACTTGCCCAAGAATACAAATCTAGTAAAGGGTGGAGCCAACTCTCAAAATTAAGAAAGAGAAATTCTGAAAATATTCTATAGCATCCTCCTGCACAACAGAAAATCCTTATCACTGACTAAAACAATTTTAGTATCGGAAACATGTATAGAATGAGTTATTATCTGATGGAGGGAAACTGCATTGTTTCAGAATCAGAATAGCTGTGCTTTTGAACCTTCACATTCTCATGACTCTTATAATATCTTTAGGATTGATTCTGAGAGAGAGAAGGGGAGAAAATGGTTCATTTACTTCTTTCTTGATAGGTTTCTAGACCCTAAGTAATTTTTAACATGATGGGTTATATTAAAAATAAGACTAATCTTATGTGTCTTTAAATAAAATTAACATAGTTTGTATGAACAAACATGGGCTTTGGAATTCACATTATAGCTCGGAAGATATAGCTCAACTTATCAGGTTGGGCTTACTGTATTTTGTGAAGCTGTTATATTTAGCATCATTAGATTTTATTGAGGGTTGGGGTGGAGCACTTGGCCTCGCATGTGTGAGGCACTGGGTTTGATTCTCAGCGCCATATAAAAAAATAAATAAATAAAACAAGATTTAAAAAGATTTTATTGAACTATGTTTGGATAGGCTTTAGGATGATTTTAAAAAAAAAAAGGTGAAAAGAGCCTGTCATCTGACATGGTGAGGAACTGAATCATTCACTATTAAATTGAGTTTTTCTTTTTTTTTTTTTTTTTGCTTATCAGAATGTGTTAGTAGTCTCAAAACTTTGACTCTCCTCCCTGTCAAAGAATTTTTTTATAACTTTTAATTTGTAATCTTTTCAACTCTACCAAAAAAAACAAAACAAAAAATAAGAACAATACAATGAGCATTCATATCTTTTACCTAGATTCACCAGTTGTTATTATTTGGATACATTTGCATTATCACTCTATATAAATTTTTCCCTGAACTAGTTGAATATTGTTTTGTGGAGGTGACACTTCATTTGTAAATATTATATATCTGTAAGAACTAAGACTTTTACGTACTTAAAATACTATTATAAAACATAAGAAATTTCACATTATAATAGCTAGTAGTCCATATTTAGATTTCCCTAGTGGCCCAATAATTTTTATTGACTTTTTAAAAAAAATTAAACTGATTCAAACTTCACACATTGTATTTAGTTAGTGTGTCCTTAGGACTTTTATTGTGTCATTCTTTGAAAACCCCAAGCTAGCTGTTTCATAAAACATTCCACAATCTGGATTTGATTGCTTTCCCATGATTAGAATTAGTTTAATGTTTTTTCAGGGGGAGAATTCTGTCTAGCCAGCTGTGGTAATACACACCTGTAATCTCAGCATTTTGGGAAGCTGAGGCAGGAAGATCTCAAATTTGAGGTTAGCCTCAGAAACTTAGAAAGACCATGTCTCAAAAAATAAAAAGTACTGGGCATGTGGCTCAATTGTTAAGCACCCCTGGATTCAATCCCCCACTATCCTCCAAACAATAAAGAATATTATCTGCATGGTGATGTGTGCTTTCTCTTGTATCACATTAAGAGGAATATATTATTTTATCCCATTATTAGTTAATTTTAATTTTAATCACTTTAGTTTGTGCTCATGAGAGAATTCTGCTAAAACTGATATTGAGGATATTTTCTGTTGATTTCTAAACTTTTAAAATTAAGGGTTTAAATAGTTATAAAAGATATAATTTTTGATATCAGCAGTTATATTAGTCTTTCCCTGAACTAGCAAATGTATCCAGTAGGATCCAAATATGGTAACATTCAGTGATCACTTAGAAAATGTTCCACAGTTAGACATTGTTCCTTTTTCATCTTGAAATTCCATCACTTCTGTAGGTTTTTATTATAACGTAACATGCATTACATTAATTACCCTATATATATACATCTCATACGTAAGTTAAAAAAGGAAAAAATCAGTGAAATCTAATGAAGGTGTACCTGTTGATTACTATTATTCTACAGTGAGATACAGTTCCACATTCATTGTTATTTTATTATTTATTTATTTATTTTTGTTGCTTGGGATCAATCCCAGGGCCTCATGGATGTGCTCTACCACTGAGCTATAGCCCCAGCCTTATTTTTTATTCTTAGGAATACTCTTAATAAGTTAAGTATTTGAGAGTAGAAGGAGCTCTTCATAATTATATTACTGTCTTTGAATTTCTTCCATGTTATGTATCCAAAAGTTTTAATCAAGTGATTTTCAATAACTTTAAGACATCAATTTAAAGTTTTTTTCCTTCAATTTTCTTGATAGTAAAGAATTGGAAACCATGTTAACTATGAAAGGATTTCTTAACCAGTCATTTAAGTATTCAGTTTTCATTGGCTTTATCTTTTTTTTTTTTTTTGATACCTGGGATTGAACCCAGGGGCATATAACCACTAAGCCACATCCCCAGTCCCCTCTTTTTTTAAAAAATTTGAAACAGTGTCTCACTAAGTTATTTAGGGCCTCACTAATTGTGCCTACTGTGTGAGGAACATATTCCAAGTGCTTACCTATAGCTTTGAACTTGGAATCCTTCTGCTTCAGCTTCCCCAGCTTCTGGGGTTACAGGCATGGAACCTGGCTATCCATATTTATTAAATGACTTTTTGTAATACTTGTAACTTTTTCTTATGAATTGTAATTAATGTTAAATCACCTAAAGCACTTAAATTTTATCACAGCATACCTGACTGCATTTTTTTAAATTAAAAATAGATATGTTAGTACATATTTGAGGGACATTCTGTAAACCAGTAATATGGAATGTATTTTGTTAGATAAATTAGTAAAGCAGTCAGGTTGAAATTATAATGGCATTGATTTAATATTTAAATAACAAAGTTATGCAAGCACAGAGCATTTTATTTTGTAATTCAATGCAAGAGTAGCAAAAAATATAAATTATGAGTTAAGGACTATGAAGAAAAGCATGGGTATTCCTTTGATAAACAATTTTTTCAGAATAATCAAATGAGAGTGGAGTATTAAATAAATCAGAAAAAACTCCATTAGTTGTTTTATAAGGTGAAATATGATTATCATTGGAATAAATATTTCATGATATGATCTGGTGAAAATAGTTTTAACCTCCCTTGTTGAATGATGGTCAGTTGATATCAAACATGAATATTGTGCCTACTGTGTGAGGGGCATATTCAAGTGTTTACCTATATTAACGTATACTGCCTCTACCCCCATAGAGTGGGTAGTATTGTTAATACTGTTTTTAAAGGTAAGGAAACTGAGGCACAAAGGCCAAGTTACTTGCAAGCCTGAATTTCAACCATACTTCCTCCATTTAGTTATTTGGAAAATATTTCTGATCTATCTTAAAGAATCAGCATTGCTAACCTTATTATTTTAGCTGTTTGTAGGGTAATGTTTATCTGGCCTAGAGTCAAGTGTTGAGATAACCCTTAAAGAAACTCTGAAGTTTAAATTGTGGGAGGAAACACCCTTTTTATGGATTACTTTGCTCTGCTCTTATGAGGTTCTCCTGTAAGAGCACTGCATTTCTTGACCATCACGATGTAAGAGGGGATATCACTTCATTTACCCATTCTGTAGAACTATAATATATCTGAATTCAGAGTATCCCAGTAGAGGCTAAGGCTTACATGCCACACACACACACACACACACACACACACACACACACACACACACACACACACACACACACAGAAAGAGAGAAAGGAAAGTCTTTGGAGGATTTGTAATACCTTAAAGCTTCATACCAATATTTCAAATTGTACCTTTGTTTGTTACTCCAGGAGGTTTTTACACGCTGAGGCAATGCACCATAGTAAGATGGCTGAGAGGTATGCCTTTGTTTTGTTTTCAGACCTCAGGTGCATAGACTTGGTTTAATCATAATCCTTGTGTCACTCATCATTGGTCCATGCATGGCTCTCTTTTATTTTTTAATTAGTTATTTTAAATAATGTTAATAAGCAGCCATGAACCTACCAAACAAAAGCTAGAACTTTGAAAATAACCTATTTTAATCATATCATAACCCTTCTTCCCACTTATCCCCTTGCCTTCCTCCACCTGAGGTAACCATCATCCCTGTTTTTTTTTTTGTTTGTTTGTTTGTTTTTTTCGGTATATACTTTTTGTTGCCATCTGTATGTACTCATAAATTATATTTTAAAATTTTAGTTTTTTAAATTTTATAAAAGGTGTCATGCTATCTGTAATCTTTTGGAAATGACCTTTTTTACTAATATTTTATTATATTGCTAAGATTCAACCACAGTGTTGCATATGCCTTTATTTTATAACACAAGTAATTGCAAAAGAGGAGGTGTGAAAGAATTTGCTTGAACATGCAGGCAATTTTCAAAGTTCAGTCTTAGGAAAAAAGACATGTGGATATGGAAATTCCCTTAAAACAATTTCAGGTGTAGCCCTTTGGAAAGGCTTCATGTGCTTCTCGAGGTAAAACATCCAGGTTGAGGACTTACAGGTATATATCACCAGGTAGGGTTGCTTAAAGAAATTTATAGATATTCTGGGCAAGTTTACTAACCTTTCCAAGCCTCAATTTTCTTATCTTTAAAATAAATAAAATAGTAATGTTTGCACAGGATTTTTTGTTAGGGTAATAAGAAAACATTTATAAATCACATATTTATGTCTTTCTTTAAGCAAAATTATTCAGTAGTGATAATACTTTTATGAAATTACATTCAGGTCATCATTTCAAAATTGTGGGTGATTTTGATAGTTAATTAGTTATTCAGAACTCTGTTGATGAGTGATGACCTTCTCAGTGCCTGAAGTACCTATTTTTGAAATTCATCTGTAGCATCAGGATAATTTCAGAGCATTTTATTATCAAGAAATAAAAACTTTTCTTAGGAAGTTTTCCCACAAATGTCATATTCTAGCCTGTATTTTTTTTTATCTTGTATCTAATTTCTGCAAACGCATGTTTCTGCCTCCTTCATGTCCTATTCAGTGTAAGATGTATATGATAAGAATTGCCTATAAAAATGTTGCACCAAGGATAATGTTAGCCTACTTTTATGAATATATATTCTTCATTCAAAATTTTTATAAGTGATTATTTATTGATTATTTAAAAGACAAAAATTGTTCATCTATAAAGAAAAGCCCTGAAGGACATGGGGCAAAGATGATTTTTATTGGAGGAGTTTTACAAAGTCTACATATGAAGTCTTCAAGAATGATTTGGGGGCTTGGGATATAGCTTTGGTGCTACATAGTAATGTTAGCATATTTTTTTATTAAGAAATACCATTCATGGGCTGGAGTTGTGGCTCGGTGATAGAGTGCTTGCCTGGCATGTGTGAGGCACTGGGTTCGATTCTCAGCACCACATATAAATAAATAAAAGATCCATTGGCAACTTAAAAAAAAAAAGAAATACTATTCACAATTTAATACTCATATATATATTTTCAGCCTTCCTTTATGGCAAGATTGTCATGAGTTATGGAGTAAAAAGCGAAGAAGACAGAAGCAGATGGGCATGACTGATGATGTTTCCACAATTAAAGCCCCCAGAAAGGACTTGTCTTTGGGCTTAGATGACAGCAGAACCAACACACCCCAGGGTGTATTGCCATCTACACAACTGAAATCTCAGGGCAACTCAAATGTAGCACCTGGTCAGTAATATTTTACATGGGTTGATTTTCTTCACATTGTTTTATGGCTAATGTTGATTATATTACTCTGCTGTCAAAGCATCTGGCTAAAAAGATGAAAATTAAGGTTTATTCATGGAACTTGATGTTTCCTTATTGTTTGTGCCAGTATAGAAGTTTCATTGCTTCTTGGCAACCACAGTTTTTAGCAATCTCAAGGTAAGATAATTTCTAAAGAAATATCAACTTATTTATGATTGGTGGTTGGTCAGATTTCTCTTTTTCCCTTTTTCCCTAGTGCAGGACTCAGTACATCTTTTACTAACACTATTCTCCGGGAAGTTCAGCGCTCAATGTCTGTGGATACTTACGGAATAGGAAGAAGAAGATAGGAAAGACAGCCAAAAATCATAATGGGAACTCTTTCATGCCATTTATAATGTCCTCAGGTCACTCAATAATATGTATTTGTTACATCATAGAATTTCAGATATTTGTGCCAGAAATAAAATGATAAAGAAAGATATTTTATAGCCACTTATTTTGGTAAAAATTTAGATTTCTTCCTCTGACTCAGTCTGTCATAGAAGTAACCTTCACATATAAAGTACCTGAGACTTTAAAAACCAAAGCAATGGTTATTTGTTGTTCAGACATATTCCGTCTTGAAATAGTGAAGTTTCCTTCAACATAAGAATATTTGATACATATATAACTTTAGGAGACACATCTGTTTTATACAGTGAGGGTTAATCTATATCAAGTTCAGTATTATTTTGCTTTTTAAAAAAATATGTAAAATATGAAGAAAGGCAAAAGAGAACAGTAATTGTTTATATTAATATGTTATGTTTTATATACTGTATTACTCTAAGAGGATTTGAGAATGGAAATAAAGAAGTTTAAAGGGTATAGTCTATTATCTCAGGTAATAGTTGTCTTATTTTCATGACTGTCAGGAGGAGAGTAGGAGCAAATCTAGAAGAAAAGAGGGTAGTTTACTTTAGCTGGTAAAAAATGAACTGCCTTCTGAGCTTATTTTATACTTTACTTAGCTCTGAATTATTTTACAACTCTACTTATGGTGGAGAGTTTTAATATTTTTCTTTTACTTTTTTGATAGTTTTAAAAACACATTTATATTAAAAAGTGAGAATTTGGGCCTGGGGTAGTTCAGTGGTTGAGCACTTGCCTCGCATACATGAGGCACTGGGTTTGATCCTCAACCCCACATAACTAAATAAATAAATAAAACAAAGATAAAAATATTAAAAAAGCAAGAATTTTCTTTCTGCTTCATTTCCTTTATCATCAGTGAATTGAAATAAGAAAATGCTTCTATTCCAAAAGAGACGCTTCTGTGAGAGGGTGTTTCCCTGAGTTCACATGGAGATTATTTATGCTAATAAGAAAAATAAAAAGGTATCTGGGGCTGTGGCTCAGTGGTAGCTCACTTGCCTGGCATGTGTGAGGCACTGGGTTCAATTATCAGTGCCACATGTAAATAAATAAAATAAAGATCTATCAACAACTAAAAAAAAAAAAATTTAAAAAAAAAAGAAAAAGAGGAAAACTGGCCCTTGGGGTATAGCAAACTAACATGGTTCTTTATGAATGCTCGTGGATCATAAGAAGAATTTGCTCAAGTTTGTTTTGAACTAAGAAGTAAAAAAAGTATCTCAAAATATATAAGTGATATAAAAAGATAGTAATATGAATGGCATTAATCATCAGCCTTTCATCTTCTTAGAGTCACTTGTCTATGAGTCTGACATCTGTGGTAATGGAAATTGCTTATCAGTATCATCTGACCACCATGTATAGTATAATATGCATTTGAGCCTTGTTGTTAAATGTGATTCACGTAAGCTTGCACAAGAACCTATGTCAACCATCCCAAATCTAAACTGAAAATTGGAAAGAACAATTGAATCTGTTATACTGGTGATGAGTTAATGCTGTTAATACATATAATAAGCATGTTTCTGAAAGCATTCCTAACTTATTGAAAGTAAAAACAGATTTTTTTTCAGAGTTGGTAATACATCCTAATTTGAATTTACTTCAAAGATAAGGTTAGATTCTTGAGTAATAAACTTTATTTTAAAGAAGAAATAGGTGTATTAGTTTAAGAGCTAGGATTCTGGAATCAGACAGAGTTGAGATATAATTTCTGCAGCTTATAAATTCTATGACCTTAGACACTAAGTTACATAGTCTGTTTAGGTCAGTTTCTTTTTCAATAAAATGAGGCTAATATGAGAGCCTGCCTTGTAAGGTGGTTGTGAAGAATAAAGGATATAAAATGCTAAGAAAATATCTGACACTCTGTTAGCTATCATCATTATTCAATTTCCATTCACAAAGTGATATTTCCTGGTTAAATCTTTAGAGTGGGATTCTATTGATAGCTTTGATTTTTCTTTTGAAGTATTTACTTCTTTCGAAGTATTTACTCTTAAAGATTACTTATTGAAAATTGACTGCAGTTGTCTTTTGTTCTAATTTATGTTCCAGTTACATCTTACAAGTCATGATAGGGAACTAGGTTGAGGTGCCCTTTTCACAGTGTTTTTGAAGTACTCTCCCTTAAATGTATATTTTAATATGGTAACATGGAACCATTTGGAGGGTGGGAGGAGCTGTGGATTATGGCAGTTCTAATTAATACAAATTTTGTCTTTAGTAATAACAGGCCCTGGACAGCAGTTAAACCACAGTGAATTGGCAATTCTACTAAACCTACTACAGTCTAAAACAAGTGTTAATATGGCTGATTTTGTCCAAGTGTTGAACATTAAGGTAAACTCTGAGACTCAACAGCAGCTAAATAAAATAAACCTTCCTGCTGGAATTTTGGCAACAGGTGAAAAACAGACAGATCCATCAACACCACAGCAGGAGCCTTCGAAACCATTGGGAGGAATTCAGCCTTCTCAGACCGTCCAGCCTAAAGTGGAGACTGATGCTGCTCAGGCGGCTGTGCAGAGTGCATTTGCAGTTCTGTTGACTCAGTTAATAAAGGCTCAACAGTCAAAACAGAAAGATGTGCTACTAGAAGAAAGGGAAAATGGATCAGGACATGAAGCATCATTACAACTCAGGCCACCTCCAGAACCTAGCACACCGGTATCGGGTGAGTGTATAGATACCTGACCTACTTACTAACACAGCTGTATTCATATTGTTTTCTCGATGTTGCTGATTTGCTATAATGCAGATTGTTAAGTGACATTGCTAAAGAGATGGGTCACTGGTGATAGGTTGGTTTCCTAGTTTGTTTATTCCCCAAAAGAAATTCTTTAACAAATTATCCAGGTGTGACATAATTCATTATGAATGCTTATAGACTTTTGTAAGGTCAGCCTAAGGTTAAAAGATAATCTTTTATTCCAAATACAAAAGAATGTGTGATCAAGGCATAAACTTTATTCATACTATTATCCTGTACTTAAATGATAGTAGGCAACATTACTTGTAAACTTGTAAACTTTTCTCCTTTTCATTCAGTGTTTTTCCAGAGATATAACATCTGATCATCTTTAGGACCACCCATAGGAAACATCATCTATTTTGAATATTCAGTTGTCTAGCTTTTGACTCTCTTTTTGTTTTGTTTCACTTAGGGCAAGATGACCTCATTCAGCATCAAGATAGGAGGATTTTGGAGTTAACACCAGAACCAGACCGGCCTCGGATTCTGCCTCCTGATCAACGTCCTCCTGAGCCTCCGGAACCACCACCAGTCACTGAGGAAGATCTCGATTATCGGACAGAAAACCAGCATGTACCTACCACTAGTTCCTCATTAACTGACCCTCATGCTGGAGTGAAAGCAGCCCTGTTACAGCTGCTTGCTCAGCACCAGCCCCAGGATGATCCCAAAAGAGAAGGTGGTATTGATTATCCAGCAGCAGACACTTATGTGCCCACTTCAGACTACAAAGACAGCTTTGGATCCTCTTCTTTCTCTTCTGCTCCTTATGTTAGCAACGATGGTCTAGGAAGTAGTTCTGCTCCACCATTGGAACGACGTAGCTTCATTGGAAACTCAGATATTCAGTCTTTGGATAACTACAGTACTGCTTCATCTCATTCTGGTGGTCCACCTCAGCCTTCTGCCTTTTCTGAGTCATTTCCCAGTTCAGTAGCTGGATATGGAGACATTTACCTCAATGCTGGTCCCATGTTATTTAGTGGAGACAAGGACCATAGATTTGAATATAGCCATGGTCCTATTGCAGTCCTGGCAAATAGCAGTGACCCTTCCACAGGGTCAGAGAGTACTCATCCTTTGCCAGCAAAGATGCATAACTATAACTATGGTGGTAATTTACAGGAAAATCCAGGAGGCCCCAGCCTCATGCATGGACAGACCTGGACCTCTCCTGCCCAAGGGCCTGGATATTCACAAGGATACAGAGGACACATTAGCACATCAGCTGGCAGAGGTCGAGGGAGAGGGTTACCATTTTGAGTATCTGTTTTTCCTCAGGCACATCATTTTTATCTGGAAAGACTTTTCTAGCTGCAATTTAAGGCAGCAATCCAAGAGACTTGAATAATATTAATTCAACAACAGCTTTATTTTTATGTGGAAAAGGGTCTTGCATACAATAGTTAAAAAAAAAAAGAAAAAAAACTTTGCTTAAATTCATGCTGTTCTTAAAACTAGATCTATTGATTGTACATCTTCACAATTCTAGTTAACAATTTTATTTTGTATTCTTGCAGTTTTAAGTGGATGCTAATCTTAGGGACATAAGCCTTTTATGACCCTCTTGCAGATCTTCTGAACTATGCACATTTGTGCTTTTTTTGTAAGTTTGGACCAACTTTTATGTAACAAACAACCCCTTCCTGCCCCCCTCCAGTTTTACAACAATCAGAAAGGGCACTGATTTATTTGGTATTTTTCTTTTTACAAAGCTACCTTTAGTCAAAGGTCACTGTCAGTCTTTGCACCTGCTTTCAGTGTTATTGTGAAAGGTGTACTTTGTGCTCATTTCAGAAAATAAAACACAACCTTTCTCTTGATGCAACAGTTTTATAAAAGAAAATGGTCAACGTTATTTTTGTTTGTTTTGCAGATTATCATAGCCTAGCAAAATGCATTCAAATGATATAGTGGGTTTTATATGAAAAATATGGGGTGGGGAGGGTTAAGTAAGTGCCTTAACTGGTGAGCTTAAGGTCTGAAAAGGTAGTTAACCTTTACACCCATTTGTCTTTTAAAGGGAATCAATGCATTGTACTGAAGAGGCAGCAAGCTTTCAAGTTTGGGGTGGCTGCCTATTCAGTCCCTGTGAGGTCCATTCCCTCTGCCTGTCACACTTCATTTTCTGCCTATATTTGGGCCATGTTATCTTTCACTACCACCTTCTCTTGGTAGGGGAGTGAGAGCAAAGAAAGGGAGTAGACCTGCTGTCAGTACCTTTTGTTACTTCTGAGAAGTTCTAAAAAGTTTTGTTATAAATGGTTGAAGGTAATAGCTAAATGAGAATTTTAAGATACCGTTTTCTTTCAGGCTGCCATATTATCCCTATTTTCATTTGGAGTTTAGAAGCAAGAATTAATAACATAATTTGCATAAATGTATTAAAATGATCATGGGAGGAGGGGTGGCAAACACCATATTTTTTAAGTTATGCAGTTGCCATTTTAAGAAAAAGTCAACTCATTAACTAGAAATATTGCCTAGATTGAATTTATCGAAGCAAAAAGAAATAGAGAAGACTTCTTATCTTCCTTCCTCTCAACCTTCTATAAAGTTTATTATGACTTCTGCCAGACATACAGAATCTTAGTTCATTTTAACATTTTTTTTCTTTTATTGAAGGTAACAAAGAAAGATGGAATAATTGTTATTTAAACAGTAATGTTTTTGGGTCTCTCGTTTTGTGCGTGTGTGTGTGCACGCATGCGCGCAAGCGCACGCTTATAATAATTTTGGAAAGGAACCAAAGGTAACTAACAAGTGTTTCCATCATCATTAAATGGAAAAACAGACTCTGGAAATCAAAAGTTGTGCCAATTAACCATTTTGTTTTAATTGTTTAATCTTTTGATTGGAGTCTTAAATTGGAACAATTGTTACAGAATGAAAAATGCTCCAGTTCTAAAGCCAGTTAACCCTGTGCTCTCTGACTTGTGAACCTGCATTTCAAAACAGGATGTGGGAAACATAGTTTGGTAACAGTAAGCATATTTTAAAGAAGCTAATTTACATTTTACTATTATAAAATGAATTGATGTCAGTTGACCATTTTATTTTTTGGTGGAATTTTTGTTGTTTGGGAGAAAAAAAATGAATGAAAGAAAAATTATTTTGCTTTTATTTGAATATTGGAGTACTAACAACTTATAATAAAACTACATTACAGGAAGTGAAGAAATATTTTGAAATTTAGCAAAATAGCTACAGTATTCAAGTCTCTGAAATTTTAATATGGTGAGTCTTAGAGCTTTAGACTTTCCTATAAGTGACAGTATCTAAGTTATTCTTAATAGTCACACTTAATAATTCTGCTGGCCATAAGCAGCTAACCCAAAATTGAAGATATTTATGTGACATGAATAGCCTGTGTTTTAAAAATTAAATATTTTATATAAAAGTGAACTGTGTTTGGATAGTTTTTCATAGTTTTTCTAATTAAGCATTTCAGTTACTTTCTTTTCCTGGGAGAGTGGCTGGGAGGACAGAGATATTGTTGACTTTGAAATGGAAATTTTGAACTACACTTTCTAACATTATTCTAAGACCGCATTGCTTATGAGACACACCAATATCTCATGTGCCACTTAGAAGAAAAAATGTTGCCATTTAAAACACAACACTGAGATGCCATGAAGTGTAAGATAATCAATCCCAGATGTAAGATTGTTATTATATGAAACAATGTGTCATATAATTGATGAAATATGATGTAAAAAACCCTAATGCCAGCCCTCCATAACATTTATACCTCAATTCAGTGAATTTGGATTAATAAATAGAGCATGGTTGGGAAGTTACCGATTCTTTAGGTTATTTCTCCTACAGTAATCAATGAGCATTGCATAAAATCTAAGGAATATAAAATATTGCTTAAGTGTTTTGGGAAGAAGCAGGTAAGTGAGATTGTAAGTAATTTAAAAATAGGATGTGACCTAGGAAAAGAAGAAAATATCTTTTTTCATACAGACTTGAAATTTTAAGTTACTTTATGTAAGGCTAAGTTTATTGATTAGAATAAGTTGTGGAATGTGGTTTACGATAACACATTAGCTATGATTCAGTGTTTTATTCTGTCAACAAATATATACTTGGTTCCTGTCATTCGATACCAAATTAAATCATATTTCTAGTAGGCTGCCAGTACCATTTTAAAAAATGTCTGGAGAGGCTAGTGGTATTTGTTACTCCCAGTTATATCTAAATTGTACCTAAGTGAGTACAAGAAATGGAATTTTGAGTTGTCTTTGTAAAATTTCAACTCGAAATTTGAATAGAGAAAGTCTGGTATGGAAAAGTCTCTGAACAGATTTTAAGTTGAGTCTGGCCAATTCATGATGGCCCAATTTGTAGGAAATATCAAGATTTTTTGAGAAAAATTAAAAGAGAATGGGTTAAATATTTCCAAACCAAAATGCTTAGTACTTCTAAGTTAAGGTTTTGATTTATTTGCTATGAGTGTAATCTAATACTGATTGGTTACTTACCCCTCTAGGTTTGTTGTTTTAAATAAAGCTGAAATATAAGTTTTGATTATATATCTACTAATTTTCAAGGCTACTGTTTTTGATACTTTAAAAATATGAACAGCTTTTACCAGTAACCAAAAATTATATGGTAATTCTCCAGCTAAGCAAAATGAGGCTCAAAGGGTTTTCCAGGACCTTTTTCTGACAACTGGGGTGACAGAGCTTGTTCCTCTAAGCCACATCTACATTATTTCTTTTAATTCAGAAAAAAAATAGGAAAATTTCAATTTTGGAAAACTTAATTAGAAACCTGTATACGTGGACTGTATATATAGAGAGACAGTCTTCAAAAGAAGAAGTTCTGTGCTTCTATTTATATATTTAAAAAACACTATACTTGTGTACCTAATTAGGTACATAAGTACCTAATACTTATGTGCCTAATCAAAGATTAAGTACTTACGTACTTAATCTTTGATTAAGAGTGTTTTGTATTTATAGATGGAAGATTTTTGTCAGCAAGCTTGCAAACATATCTTTTTAAACCCTTTGATGGTTTTATAATTTCAAGAGACTTTATAAGGGGAATAATAAGGGCTTGTCATTTACCAAAGACATTTTCCATATTCGTGATATGACGGGGTTTGTCGGGTGGGGTGTGGTCTTTGTTTTTGAGGTACTGGGGATTGAACCTAGAAGGCACTCTACCACTAGCCCTTTTTATTTTTGTTTTGAGATAAGAGACTTGCTAAGTTTCTCAGGCTGGCCTTGAACTTGTAGTCCTTCTGTCTCAGTCTCCTGAGTTGCTGGGATTACAGGCCTTCACCACCACACCTGGATTCCAGTTAACTGTCTTAAATTGTTTCTAGTTTTTACTACTAATAAAAGCTGTTTATAGGCTGGGGACATAACCAAGTGGTAGAGTACTTGCCTGGCATTCTTGTGGCCCTGGGTTTGAACTCCAGAACCACCAAAAAAAAAAAAAAAAAGCTATAATTAATAAGCTATCAGTCATGAAATCTAATTGAAAATGTGGAAACCAAAACTTTGATCATAATGGAAAGAACTTCTTTAAATTGTAGAGACTAACAAATTTAGTGGGTTTTAACTTCTTTTCATAGAACAAGAATTTTCTAATTGTATTCAAATGAGACTGTAGTGATTATAGAGTATTACCCTTTAAAATTTTCCCCAGTTTTAAGTTAATTGTTGTAAAATTGTTGTATTCTTTTACAAGACCTTTTAGTAAAGTCTTGTAACTTAAATCTACTCTATTAATATAAGCCACTTGTTACTTTTTGGAAAAAAAATCCTATTTGATAGTCTATAAATTGCTTAAGAATTCCATCCACCCCTCCCCCACCTTTTTAGTCTTATTCTCTCTTTACTTATATCCAGAACATAATCTTAAAATAATCTTTTATGGTAATGGTGATCAATAATCTTTTATGGTAATGATGATCACTTGTAATCCACTGAGCCATATTTTGTTTGTTTGGGGTTTTTTGACAAAGCTAAAAGCCTGAAACAATTTTCTCTCATCTTTTATCCCTGTGTATATATGTATGTATTAAAAAATAGGAACAAAATGCAGAGATAACCATTAATATTTTCCCTTTGATGGATGTACATAAATACATGTTTATTCCCCCTTAGAATAATGGGACTATATTGCTCATAACTTTGTAATTTTTTTTTCAATTTATAATATATTGTGGACATCTTTCTATGTCAGCCAATTAAAGTACCTATCTTCTTTTTAATGGTTATAAGTTATTCCTTTATAGGACCATAACTTAGCAATTACTTATTCCCATACAAAACTTTTATGTTTCAAATAATGTGAAAGTACACATATTCAAGCATTCATAATTTCCTCAGAGTAGCTATGTTATAGCACTTAAAAAATGTTTGCTTAAGTTTAATCTGATCTCAGGAAAAGCTTAACAGCTTTATATTCTTATTCCTTCTCATTCAGTGATGGTTACCTACATTGGGTATTCAAAATTTAGATCTTTTTTAGTTTGATGATGAATCATCTTGTTAAATCTGTATTTCTTTGAATATTATTGAGATTCGCTATTTCACTTGATATCCGAGTCTTTGTTATTAACCATTTGTATGTTTAATTATTAGCTTTTCTCTCTATTGTTCTGAAGATCTCTTTCTATAAGAGCCCTTTATGAATTACATACCTAAAAGCCTGGTTGTTATTGGAAAATATTTTTTACATTTAATGTAGTGAGGTCCATTAATCTTTTGGTTGGTCTTTGAAAAAAGCTTTCCTAAGATTAGTTAAATATTTTTGAAAATATTATTTTTTTAGTTGTAGTTCAATACGATACCTTTATTTTATTTATTTATTTTTATGTGGTGATAAGGATGGAACCCAGCCTTTCAGGTCCTAGGTGAGCGCTCTACAGCTGAGTCACAACCCCAGTTCGAGATTATTTAAATATTCACAGAAGTTTTAGTTTAGTTCTTCTCTGGCTTTCTACTTCTACTTTAAAAAAAATTTTTTTTTGGTTCTTTTTAGTTGGACACAGTACTTTTATTTTGTTTATTTTTATGTGGTGCTAAGGATCGAACCTTGGGTCTCGAATGTGCTAGGCCGCAACCCCAGTCCCTCTATTTCTACTTTTAATTCTCAACCATTTAGAATTTAGTTAGATGTTGCAAGGTAAGGATTCAGTTTTATACCTTTTTTTTTTTTTAGTTGTTGTGCTAATCGTGCCAATAACATTTTATTTATTTATTATTTTTATTTTTTGAACTGGGGATTGAATCTAGGGATGCTTTACCAGTGAGTCACATTCCCAGACTTTCTTACATTTTATTTTGAGACAGGGTCTCGCTAAGTTGCTTAGGGCCTTGCTGAGACTGGCTTTGAACTTGGAAGTCAAGGATCTTATACAAAAGGCACTCAGTGTATGGTAGCTAGGAAAGCAGCTATACACAGTATATAAGAAAGTGTAAAGCATATTATACTTTCCCTAGTTTGAAAATATCATCAAGGTCTTATTTGATTGTATTCCTTGGCTTTCTGTTGTATACCACCCTGATCTTTCTCTTCTTTTTACAAGTACTACACTTGTATCCTTTAGTGGGGCAGAGGGGAGGCACCAGGGATAGAACCCAGGGGAGCCATATCACCAGCCCTTTTAAGATATTTTATTTAGAGATAGAGTCTCACTAAATTGCTTAAGCACTTGCTAAATTGCTGAGGCTAGCTTTGAACTTGCAATCTTCCTATCTTAGCCTCCAGAGCCTCTGGGATTACAGGCATGCACTACCACATGTACTATGCATCTGATATGTGTGTGTGTGTGTGAGAGAGAGAGAGAGAGAGATGTGTGTGTGTTTTGAATTAGTATTCTAATTCCCGGGACAATCAGTAGCATATGCAGATAATTTGTTGTAGGACAGAAATATTAAAAGTAGTTTTGTTTCCTTTTTTTAAGTTTTCTATACTGCCTATTTTTCCATGTGAGTTTCAAAATCATTTACATCACGTTACCTGAGTTTTAATTGAAAGCACATTAGATATTTAAGTTTATGGGGATTATTTCATTGAGAGCATATAATAATTTTATGCCCCTCATTATAAGTTGCAAAATTTATTATAGTTCTGGTGTCTTCAAAAATATTTTTCTTGTTCCTAGATATGGACTCTGCATGAGTACTGCAGTATTTTAAGCTAGTCATTGCTTATATAGGAAAGCTATCCTGTTTTTGCTTTTGAAATTGGCCACATTCCTCATGTTTTCTAACATTTTTTAGTTCATTAGAGTATAATGAGCATTCTAATTATTTTCTGAATGTCTAATTTTTCATGTTTGACCCTTATGTATAATAAAGTATATATCAGAAATAAAAGTTTAGATTTTTTTCCTGAAATTTATTTGATAGAATTAGATGTTAATTTTTTTAAATACT